GGCAGGGGTCCCTCCCCCAGCACCCCCTCCCCCACCCCTAGTACTTACCAGCTGGGAGTCAGCTGCAGCTCCCTGGGGCTCTAGGCATAAGCCATAAGCCTGTAATGCTGTGCTTCCATCCAGGCCTGGCTCTCACCTTGGTATCAGTTTAATAAGCATTCCAAACTATTCTGGAAACCACTGGGAGACTGTGTGGTGCTTTCTGGGAATCCTTTGATATGGGAAAGCACCCAGAGTACTTGACAGTGCAAGAGGTACTGAGGATGGATTATTGCTAAAGGCAGAGATTGCCAACCACTTATGGGCCCTCTAGCCCTGTTTCCCATTTCCAGCATGAGTCAATAACTGAAGCTTCAGAGAAAGGTCAAAACCAAAGACCCAGAGTGGGGAAATCAGGAGAAAAGAGAGATACTGCCAGGAAGGAAGGGAGAACGGAAGGTGGAGCAGTTCCTGCCTGTGCTTCCCTGGAGATATTTCTCTCCGTGCTCACTGCAGGGCTTGCTAGTCAAGCAACAGCCCAGTGGCAACACGTGCATGGAATGAATGGTGGATGAAGCGGCTGCGGCACTTCTGGAAGTGGCTGCAGCTGCTTCTAGGAGCTCTGCGGCCGCTTTCAGGTGTGTGTGATCGGTCACAGGGGATCCCCCCCATTGGCGGGATTGGTTGCGGAGGGACACCCCCCCCGGTTACTGACTGGTCACTGGGGGGGCATGTGCCCCCCTGTCTCAGATGGCACCAGTCGCCCATGCAACAGCCTCAAACTTCTTCCACCCATTGGGTGCCATTTATGTCTCCATCACTCCAAGCTGCAGAATTTGGCCTTTCCTGGGTCCCAAAGGAGCTCTTGATTAGAGCTCCCTTTACTGTCCTATCTCTCCTGGCCAGTGTTTTCCTCCAGCCCTGGCCCTTCATTATGGGATGGAAATCTTGTTCTTCTGTCCCCTTAAATGATCCTTGTTCACCCAGAGCAATGACAACTTGTTTCCAGAGATGCAGGCAGGTTTCTCAAAGGGCAAATGAGAAACCAGCGGGGTGGGCCGTGTGGTGACATTCAGTCAGGGGCTGTTCAACAAGAAAAAGAGTGACTTACCAGGTGTGGGATGAGGGCTTTAAGAGTCTCCTAAAGGACAAATCAATAGCAGAGCTTTTTCCTTGACATGTTCTTTTAACCATAGATCTTGACCTACATCAATACTCCACGGCATATTTCTGCACCTGTCCAACTCAGCAATGTAATGAACTGGATGAGGTCTACTAGTGAATTCAGAACTGCTCGGAGTCTAGTGAGGCAGACCCAGGAGAGTCTGTCCAAATCGAAGCTGGGAGGTCTTGTAGAGGGACTTGGGATGAATGTTTTGCATCTGCAGTTCTCAGAGGCCCATCATTCTTCTTCATTCTGTCCAGGAAGAGCACACACCAACTGCTGAAACTTCCTTAGCCTGACAAAGGGTTTTTGAACCTGAAAGCTTGCTTAAATTTTTTTTCCAACTATTTAAGTTGGTCTAATAAAAGATATCAGATTCACCCAAAGAACCTTGTCTGCCTATGTCCTTAGACCAACACAGCTACAACCTACAGCCTTGTAATCATTCTTCCTATAGTTGTGCAAGCCAGTTGTCTGGGGAAGAACCTTCGGAAGTAGAGCACAGGTAGGGCAAGTGGGCAATGAGGGGTTTTCTAGATTGGAGGCACTGCCTGACTGGAGGGTCTGAGCAGATGTGCTGATGTAGGTAGTGATTATGGTCTAGTTCAGCATGGCAAAGGAGGTGGAGGCATTGCTGCTCACAGTGGATGTCTGGGGGAGCAAGACTGTTGATGAGTGGGAGCTGTGATGTATAACCAGGAACAGCAACGTTGTTTTGACAAGTTTGTTAGTGAGGTGGAAGGTGCTACTAACAGTCTTTGTGGTGTTTAATTTGAGTCTCTAGTTCTGAAAGGAAGTGCACATTGTAGTGAGGTCCTTTGTCAGACCTTGGTTGATTCGAGAGCTCTTGGCCATCAGAGATGTTACCAAGGATCACTACGGGGAAGTGGCTCTCGTCAACCCCTGGCTATGGCTGCTTCTGCCCTAACATGCATCAAATGGGCCTGATACCAAGTGCCTCTTGTGAATGTGGCACCCCCTCACAGACCACAAACCACACCATTACAGAATGCCCTATCTTCCATTGCCCTGGAAACTTCAATACTCTTGACAACCCATCCCAATCCTGGCTCAGCTCTGTCCAATGTGAAATATGACTCCAGCGCACCATTTTTGTCATATGGAAAAAACCCAAACAGAACTGCTCAGCTGTGTGTCATCATCCCTACACTGCTACTAGTTAGGGGCAATCCTTCCTTAGTTCAAGTGATCAGGGTCTGTGGTTTGAACTGTGTTGTCTCTCTCTTGCTGCTGTGAAACCTCCTGGAGAGCACCACAGTAATAGCCCTGCAGTGCCTGGATGGCTAGGGATTGGTTACATAGGAACATTGTGCAGATGTAATGGCACAGATGTGGCAACTACTGCAATAATAATTCTATAGCTGAGATGTTTTGGATTCTGGGAAGTGGCACCGTGCATGCTCTGAAGTCATGCTGCTTGTCACGTACCAGGGAACAGAAAGGCACTGGAGTCCTCATGTGCTTGCAACAGTTAGTGCCAATTCTGAACACTGCTGCTGCATCTCTCCTTCCAGCCTGTTATTTTAGGCCCTGAGCTTATGCCCTGGGGAGCAGCACAGCTTCCTGCCAGGTCACCCAGATGGTTTGCTGTTGCTTGTCTGCTTTGACTACAGTACTGCACAAAGGTCCC